TGTGTATAGTGTGTGTGTTTGTGTGTGTGTGTGTATAGTGTGTGTGTATAGTGTGTGTGTGTGTGTGTGTGGAGCAGATGCTGTAGTGTATGCGTAGCTGCTTGTGTGTGTAATTGTCGGTTGGTCAGTAGATGTTATAAACTGTCTGTAGTCACGACCTTTAATTACAGACATTACAGCCGTTATATGTGTGTGTATAGCATGTGTGTGTGTGTAAAGAAAGGAGAAGAGGAGAGAACTGAGATCTCCTCAGTATCTTATCAGTGAGATCAGATGGAAAGACAGAGGAGACTCTAACTGAAGTCTCTTCTGCAGCTCAGATGTTTCTCCTGAGAAATAGAGCTCAGTGTCTCCTCAAACTATAAGAGATCTCAATAGAGTCACACATTGTGCTCAGATGTGAAGATAATAACACTCGTATTTGTCTGTATTTGAACTCTCATCTCTCCTTTACCTCTCCTGCATCTCATGCGTTCTTTTGGTCTAATGTTGCTGCCCCTGAGGAATATTCTATACATTCCAGGGCAGCCAATCAGAACACAAGTCATAAATGAACAACAACAGCCTGTTTAGTTTTCATATTGAGAATATTGTCATGTAAAAATGCATCATGACTGCTTTGGTTACCACACAGATGTTGCAAGTGGAAAAACAATCTTTAAACTCTTCAGAGACTCTTCTAGAACATTTCACATCAAACCAACAGCTGTGTTCACACCTTAACCATTCAGGTGTGCAGAAACTTCTAAAAATTGGTGGGATTTCCCTTTAATAGCCTTTTTCATGTCTTCTTTAACTCTTATACGCTTCATATTCATCTCCTTATCAGCAGCACTAAAGTCTTGATTGTCCACTTCCTTATCCACACTCTTAAAAAGGACGGTTCTTCAAGGGTTCTTTACTAAAGAAAATCCCTCTGTATAGAACCATGAACACTCACAGAACCTTGTACGTGGTTCTATATAGAATCTTTTTGAAAATGGTTTATATAGCACCCTAAAGGATTCTTCTACAAAGGGTTCTTTCAGGCTTGTAACAATAGAACAGCGCTTTTAGGTGCTATTTAAAACCTTTTCAAAAAGGTTCTATACAGAACCCTCTGTAGCACATTCATGCACATTCTCCATCAATCTGAAGAACCCTTTCATGGTGCAAAGAACCCTTTAACCATGCAGTAGGTTCTTTCAGTGTTTATGGTTCTATATAGAGCCGTTTTCTTTACTACAGAACCTTTGGAGGACCGTGTTTTTTAAGTGTGTACTGTGGTCAGTGCTGCTCTGGCGCTCGTGAACGTTTCTACTGTGTCGACTGTGACGATCTCACACTGAGCTTTCTGGACGATGGAGAATCTGTTCATACAGAACTCTGACTGCGTGTGTTTCCTCATCGCTGTGGGCCGCTGGCTCTGATTGGTCAGTGTGGAGGAAGAGTAGTGCAGTGTGACCCCCTGTTGCGGCTGCAGATGGTCAGATGGTAAAAGCAGGAGCTTCAGTCTGTTGTATAAATACACCATCATCAGAGAACGAGGCGCTTCCCTGAGTCTGAGTGGGGTTCTGTGAGGAACACAGCAGCTGATAATGACTGTAATAGAGCGTTTATCTATTAGAACAACAGAGGAACACAGTGAGAACCGTCACTGATAGACAGACAGACAGAGAGACACTTAGATATACAGAGGAACACAGTGAGAACCGTCACTGATAGACAGACAGACAGACACTTAGATATACAGAGGAACACAGTGAGAACCATCACTGATAGACAGACAGACAGACACTTAGATATACAGAGGAACACAGTGAGAACCATCACTGATAGACAGACAGACAGACACTTAGATATACAGAGGAACACAGTGAGAACAATCACTGACAGACAGACAGACAGATAGATGGACAGAAAGAAAGACAGACAGATAGATAGACAGATAGATAAATAGGTAGACAGGTAGATAGACAGACAGATAGATAGATGGACAGACAGAGACGTGCAGACTGGCAAACACAGACATGTCTATTTTCTCTCTGATGTGATTGCCAGGTTGCTGTTGCTATGGAAACTGGCCCCACTCTCCTCATCCTGCTCCTCTCGTGCAGGGAGCGCGCTCAGAGGGGGGAGAGTGAGTTCACGTGGTGTTATTTATTTGTCTCTGCTGGCCGTCAGTCGCTCTGCCTGCATCAGAGACCGACAGCTGTCCTTTCATTTAACGAGCTCATCACTGACTGACCACAGCACAGGAGACGGTCAGGACACAGACAGACTGTAGGAAGCACCTCTGGGAAACACCAGCAGCTCAGAACTCTGGGTAATGAAGTTCAGCTAAGGCAGATCTGTAGTGCACCGTCTGCTGGAGAATGTTTTTCAGATCCAGGGTTCCTTATGTGTCCCTGTCCAGCACTGGATGCAGTAAAATCACTGTTCCCACATACAGGGTTTAAAATCAGAGGCTGCAGTTTGGTGGATAAAATCATTAAATTCCTATAATGGCTTCATTGATAAA